ATTAAAAGGCCAAAGATGTGTAAGTAAAACTTCCCTTCGAGGAGGCTGGGAAGGGTAGGGCAGCAAGGCTGGGGAAAGGAGGCTTGTGCTTGAGAATAGTAGGAAATCAGACACAGCCAATCTCTTTGGTGTGAAGCGTTTCATCTTTTCAACAACGTCAGTGCCACTGAAGGATTTTAATCAAAAATTCGGTGAAAGGATGATTTATCTGACTGTCACACGACGAACGACGTGACAGTAATTGGAAAAAGGAAGAGCAACTAAAAGGCTTGGGGAATGCTTTTTATATGAGTCCCACAGCAGGTTGGTTGCAATGAATTTGAAATAAAATGCAGGAGAGACACTGGCAATTCAGTGGGTATCGGTAATAAGAGGGTGAGTCAGAGAGCCTAACTGCGTCACCAAATTTTACAAAGACCTTGTATTCCTAATAAACATGCTGCTTAAAGTGTCAACAGTAAAATCATAGATCCATGTAGCGAGTGAATAAGTTAGTACTTAATGCAAAAGCACCAATCCATTTGACTTTAATGTTTGCAGAGTTTGAGTACGAACATCTTTAAGCTGCGCCTATTCACATGCCCCATGTTTTTTCCCACGTGGGCATATTCAGAAGTCTGCCTGAGGATGGAGGGTGGCCATATTTGCAGCACCTATCCCAGGTGTCAGGCCCTTGGCCCACTACTGGGAACACAGAGATAAAAGACAGCCTGTGCCTTTGAGGGGCTCACAAGCTGGATTTTCCCCACAAAGCCATCCACTGCTTCAATGGCCACGCCCAGGCTGCTGACTCCCCACCTGTGTCTCCACACTAGACGGTAATCCTGCTCTCCAGCCTTATCCATGCATCTGTCTATGAGACTTCTTCACCTGGTTGGCCACAGACGTCTCCTTCTCAACATCTGCAACACTGGACACCAGCTCCTTTCCCTAGAACCTGCTCCTCCTTATGTGAGGCCCCCTTCTCAGAGAATGGCAGAATCCTGGGGGCTCTTCCTTGGGTTGCCCCACTGCTGCCTCACCCCCCACATTATGTACCCTTAAGTTCTGTTGATTCTACTTCCTGGATATCTCTCTTATCCAGCCACCTCGCACCATCGCTATCGTCACTTCTTCAGTGCAAGCTACCATCATCTGTTGCCTGCCTGAACTTCTGAAGTGGCCTCCTGGCATCCCAGCCTGCAACCCTCCCATCCACTGCCCACACAGCAACCAGTGTGACCTTTCCAAAATGAATATATGACTGAGTTGCTTATCTGCTTAACATCCTTTAATGTCTTCCTATTGCTGTTAGGATAAAGTGCAAATCCCTTAATGTGCCCTGCAAAGCCCTTTATAGCCTGGATGCTGCCCATCTGTCCATCCTCACTGGGCTCCTATCGCCTTTCCAAAAACCTGCCACATAAAATTCTTTCAGTTCCCCTAATGGTGCATGCTCTGACTCTCTTCGTGGTCCCCACGTATCCTGTTCTTCCTGCCAGAAACCCTTTTCTCCTTTCCTGCAAATTCCCATGCCAAGAAACGATTATCCTGAGCTGCCAAGGAAGACTCACGTTAATAATGATTCTAGTCCCCAATGTATGTATATAGCCCTCTATGTTGGTTAAGAGTTTTAACTATATCCCTGCAACTACAATGTAGTTTACATACAATATTTCAAAACACTAAAATTCTGAAGAATGGGACTGAATTTTGTTGGGACATCTTGGCTTTGCAAAAGTCCCATTTTGTGGCAGTGGACATTCAGACCCCTGGCCTTCCCTCATCAGGGACAGGGGTCGCAAGGAAATTCCAAAAGCACACAGGACAGCCGCTGCTCTAGACACGTGCCATGCAGTGGGTCTGATACTTAGTCCAGTGTGTTGGAGTAGGATATTGTGCTAAAGAGCCACCATGGAGTTTTCTTAGGGCTGCTCAATGGAGCAGTGCCCCAAACAAAACATGCACGCGAGCAAACACACACACACACACACACACACACACACACACACACACACACACACACACACACTCTGTGCTCTTTAGAAGTGGGAATAATCTTTGAGGCAGGCAGCTTCTTCTCTCGCAAAAAGGAGGAGTAGAGAGCCCTCTACTTGCCCTCACCTAACTTAGGACATAGCCCTACTTAAGGACGGGGTGTCATCGGGTGTCATTGTTAAATAGGAAACAAACCCTCCCCATGAGGAGGAACAGGAAAAGGAGTTCTGGATTCAGAATGAATGGATATGGATACCGGACCAACTATTGGGTGGTCGGAAAAGTCATGATGTATTTCTTCTATGTTTTTCATTGCAAAAATGGATCATGACTTTTCCGACCACCCAATAGAACCCAGAACTCCTGGGGCAAGTGGGCTGCATTGTGGCGGGGCCTGGGCACTAAGGGAGGTCTCCTGGGAACCCCAAGGGACAGATATCCCTGGTGGACCTTATCACAAAGGCAATTAAAATGATCTTCCTTCAAAGATCCCTTGAGGTCATTATGCTAAGTGAAATAAGTCAGACAGGGAAAGGCAATACTTTATGATCTCTCTTCTATGTGGAATCTAAGAAAACTGGACTCAGGGAAACAGAGAACAGATTGGTGCTTGCCAGAGGCAGAGGGTGGGGGGCTAGGGAAATGGGTGACAGTAGTCATAAGGTAAAGGAACTCTGGGGATGTAAGGTACAACAAGGTGATTATAGTTAGCAACACTGTGCTACATATTAAAAGTTGTTCAAAGAGATCTTAAAAGTTCTCATCACAAGAAAAAATTTTTGTAACTATGTCAAGTGACATGTTAACTGAACTTATTAAAATGGTGATCATTTTTCAATACAACATATGAAATCATTACACGCACATCTTCAATGAATACAATATTTTATGCCAACTATATCTCAGTAAAACTGGGGAGAGAGAGGGGTCCCTGAGGAAGGGATTACTAGCGATCCAGCATCAGCTGCTACAATATCTCAGACCTTGTTCTCAGCAGAGGTGCATGGTGGCCTGAGAGCCAATGACACCGGCTGACAGCCCTTGCTCTAGTGGCATGGAGGTAGAAGTCAGCAGCCTCATGAAACTCCCTCAGGGCTTCTTGCTGGCCTGTATCGCAGGTCTAATATCACATCTATTTCTAGACTCTGCTGGTAATTATGGCAAAAAAAATAATGGCTACCTGGGAGTCTATGAAGCCTCTTACTGGCTTTACTCAAGATCATACAATGACTAACAGGCAGAGGCTGAAACAAAACAAGTGATTCAGTAAAGATGAGTGGTACACTGTGCTGTCAAAAACACATAAACAGAGGTGAGACGGGAAAGCCCCGTGGGCTCATCAGCCCATGACTGTCAAGGACTGTTCCCTACCGAGGTTTTGATGGTCTCTGGTTCGGACTTGGAACTCCTGGAAATGATGCCAAATCACAGTAAATAAGTCTGCATAATGCCACCATGAGGAAAAGTGGTTTCTGGATGGAGGAATGTGACGCAGAACCAGGGCAATGTGACCAGACCTCATGATCCGAGTGCCTCTGATAACATACTGGAGAACAGAGCTGGATTCTAAATCGACTGAAATCTTCCATAAATGGAGTCTAAATGCAGGCAACACAACATCCAAAAACTCCCCAGAGAAATTCCTATTATGTACACGGCAGGGGGAACGAACTAGTCCCATCTGGCTGGGCAGAGACTAGCCTCGGCTTAGTGAAACTTCGTCGTTCCTGGGTTGACTGCCAAGTGCATGTCTGTCTGAGGCCAAGGCCCCAGACACAGAGATGTAAGTGTACTGAAGAGTGAGCCAGATGGAGCAGGCGGTGCGGGGCAATTCTTTGTGTCTAAAACCATCAAAACCACAAGGCAAGATATAAAAAAAGGTATCATTTTTAATAAAGTCCCCACTACTTAGGAAATAACATTATGACCAGCGTTGCTCAGAATTGCTATAGCGAGCTAGCATGATTACCCTTTCCCACAAGTCTCCCATCAACACACAAGCTAAAATCAAGAACATACACCTGACATACACCTCTAGTGACCTTTGCTCTGTGCGACTGCCACGCTCAGGGAAACCCCAGAACTTTAAAGTAAGTACGCAGTGAAATTAGCCTTATTAGGAAATAGAGGCACCAAGAGATGAGGCAACAGCTCAGATGTGACCTGCTCAAAGCGGCCTCCCCTGACCAGCCTCCAGTACTAAATAAGCCCCCTTCGTGATCACTTCTTTGTGAGAACTTTGTGATAACTTCTACTGTAGTTAGTCTGTAACCCATTAACTTTGATGACAATCAAGTTGTCTTTGAAGTATCTGTACCTGAAGGCTTTATGAAGTCCAGAAAAATCAGCATTCACAATTCATCAAAAACATCCCATATTGGAATGGAAAGTCTTCATTATAGACGTAATGTTACTTTAATCCATACCTTGAAGCACCATTACTGCAAGTGTGGCCCAGGGGCAATGGTATCAGCAGCCTTAGCAGTTTGCAAAATGCTTAGCAAAATGGGGACCCACTGCAGACCCAGTGAATCGGAATAGCTGGGAGTGGAGACCCAAAGTCGGTGTTCAAGATCTCCAGGTGATTCTTACATACCCTAAAGTTTTTAGTATCTGATATTCAGAAATAAAGGTGGGTATGAGAAAGAAATGTCATAAGCACTAGGATTTTCCCAGGGACAACTGACATACTATTCCTGCTGTCATTTATATATATTTTTTTAATCGGGAAAAAGGAGGATGATGAATTATATGCAAAATTACACGTGTGAAGGTGGAGCCTACGTGTGCCATCAGATACCTGTTCCACTTTCTGTCCCACTGAGGCTGCCCAGGCCTGACTAAACAACCAGCACACGGCCCACGCTTCCTGCGCACAAAACTCTGACTTAGCTTGGGTTCCCTCTCCGTCCTGGGAGCAGCACCCTCTGTGGTTCTTTCTAGGAATCCTTCTAACAGATGACGGACCAGGTCCACTGAGAGAAAGCAGCCCAGCTGGGGACAAGGAGGCGGTCGTGCCATACCATGGTTTAGATGTCTGATGCAGTCACTCAGGAGAGCACTGAACTTCTTCTGGTCAGTGGCCTCATGAAAGCAGAAGTAGGCGTGTCTGAGGAACGGCTGCCACAGGTACACTGGGTATTCCTTCGGCAGGACCACGAAGGGCTGAGCGTTCTCCTTCTCATTAGACGCTAAAGAAATATTGAAAACACAGAGACGTTTTTAAATGTGTATCTTTTATGTAAAATACTTATTGCAGGCTGTGAAGGTAACTCTCTGGGGCAGGCCATGCATGGGATGGAAAGGCGGTGTGAGGGTGGGGGAAATGAGGGTTCAGACTCCTCATGCATCCTTCCACCAGCTTCACCTGTGTCACTCCAGCAGGTAGCCTCACCTCCTACCCCACAGGTGCAACCATGGCCACCAGACCCAATCTTTCCCAACTTCCTCACATCAAAATAATATGCAGACAGAGCCCCCTCTTCCCGACCGGCCCGCCGTGGGCCACCTGTCCACCTGTGCAGACAGTCAGCCTGCTTCCCTAGCAGGCTCCCAGTCCACCAGGTCTGCTCTCTCCCTGCACCCCCTCTCTCCTCCCTGTCACTGCTGAACAAGTAAGCATTTGCTGTCTTCATGCCTTCAACCCCTATTTTCACCTTCGTCTTGTTCCTGCCCCACCAGTCCTGAAACCAAATTGCTGTGGTCACTAACGTCACCCTGACTACCAGCCTATGGCTTCCTCTGTATTATCTAGCCTTTGAAACGGATCTGAAACATCTGTTGCTGCTAACAACCCCTTGTTTTGAAAACATTCTCTTCCCGTGATTTCCATGAGCACCTCTCTCCTGGTGTCTCCTTGATGCGTTTTAAACATTGTGTCTTCCTTGTCACCTTTATTGGTTCCTCTGTCCCTTCTGCCCATCCCCCCGTTGAATGTTGGGGCTTGTTTCCTGTTCTGTGCTAGTTTCTGCTCTACTCTCAGCCTCCTCTCTCTCTGGGTGTGGTCATCCATTCCGTGACTTTACATATTGTTTCTGCAGTTCATATGCCCCCTTCCTCCTTCTCTTATGTCATAGGTTTGCATAGAAAATCCTCATTCATCCTTCAAAAGTCAGTTCAAAAGCAATCTTCTTTGTTGGCACCTACCTCTGCCACCAGAGACAGACTTGGGCGTTCCCTACCTTGTTCTCCCAAAATATTGTGATGATTTGTTTCCATGGCTGGCACCCCCCACTCAGGGTAACAGGGGCAGAGTGAGATAAGCTCCCCTCACTGATTCGCCCCCAAAATCAGAACCACTTTCCCAGAGCTCCTAGGGGATGGAGGCAGCATCTCACATATTTTTGTATCCTCAGCGCATGGCACAGTCATGGAACCTAGTAGGGGTTGAACTACAGTTTGTTGAATGAATAAACATGTTCCGTTGTCCTCGGGAATTAAAAGCCTTAAGCAATGGGGACTTTTATCTCTTCCCTCAAATTCAATTCCAAGAAACTCATGGGAAGCCATACTGCTATTCAGATCCCCTACCTAAACTCAGCTACGTTCTAACTCTTCCATACATTCTAATTCTATGCTACTGCACTTGGTTAAATGAATCCCAGCTTATTTCCAGAGCCATGGAGAACAAACAGAAGAAAACATTAGTTCTGCATTCCCTACCTACCTCATGAGCATCAATCTCAGGGAAAGAGAGGGAAGAAGGGCCCTTTCTGTGGCCATCGAAAGCACTGGGCGTACCAAGAAATGGGTCATAACCACAAAGGAGACTCCAGAGCCAAGTCTTGCTACTGGCCTGTGCGTAAACCAAGATTGGCTTAGATAAAGAAAAGATTTCTTGGGGTTTATACAGGAACCCTGCTTCAAGTGCCCTGAAATCCGAAGCAAACACAGAATGCACGGGGAGCATAAACTTCGGCCCACTAGCAAAATCCCTGGCACATAGTAAATGACGTAAGAATGAATCAACATATGAACGAATAAACGAATGAACGATCGAATCTGTAGCCGAGGCCCACCCCCCCCAACTTGTAACACATTGTCTATTCTCCCCTCTTTCTCAGTAACAAAGCCCTTGATTTTTAGTTGAACAAGTGCTGCATAAAATAGACTGTATTTCTAGCCGTTACGGCAGCTTGGTGTGTGTGCCACAGCCAGTAAATCCCGGCGAATGGGATGTAAACGGAAGTGGCCATGACACTTCCTGGAAGTACCCTTAAAGGGACTGAATGCACCCGACTCCTCCGTTTTTTTCTCCCTCCTGCTGTCTGGAATGAAAAAGCCATGGCTGGCTCTCCGGCAGCTACATTGGGCTATGTCAGTAAGGGCTACCACCTAGAAATAAAGGGGGAGAAAGCTAGAAAGAGTCTCTGACATTTATGGAACTGTCACACCAGCCCTGGACGGCTAATATCCAAATATTTTCAACAAGATCATAAAATCTGTTGCATCAAACTTGAGTTTTGCAGCAAACTAGATTCTAAGTGATAAAATGCCAAATAAATGAATCACTTTAGCAAGACATGGGAGCACTTTTGATAAATCACCTCAGCAGACTGCTGTGTAAAAAAGACATTTACCCATAAACCTCTAGTGCTTTTTCTCAAGCGAGGTTAATTCCTCCCGCCTTGATTGTGCATCTCCACTTTCCAGTAAGATTAGTATCAAAAAGGGCAGTCTTCCTGATTAACATGGCTTTGTGAAACAATCCTCCTTGCCTTTTCCAAGAGGTCACAATTTTGTGCCAACAGCTGAAAGCAATAGTGACCCTTCGCATTTAAAAGCTTCAGAAAGCCCCATAACATTCACTCCTATTAGATAACTATCACTTAACCTTTTACAACAGTTTTCCAGATGCCATCAGCCTGCATTTTTTTCCAAGTTAAGTCACAAGGATATCACAAATGATCTACTGTAGAATATTCTATTTTTAAATCTTAGAAGGCCACACCATGTAATAAAAAAAAAAGTCATTGAAATACCCCCAATCTGAAGCCCTGAGCCAAACAGCATTAGTCACACAGGATTTGTGGGGTTTTTTACTCCATTTCTTTCCTTCTGATGTGATTTCATCAATAAATCAATAAATACATTGTTCTGATTCATTTCATCAGAAAGTTCCTTTGCAGAGGTTCTGAAGAGCCAGTGTGTTGGCATTCCCGTTTCTAGCCGCAGCTTCAGAGCCAAGATGACAAATAAGTAGATGTTGAAAGAAAATATAATGATATGTATAATGCACATAAAGTGTTATTTTAGCTTGGATTACTTAATAATAGTTTGTTAATCTAGGCTTATAGTCCATGTACTAATCTTTCAACAGTGTTATTAAAAGCACTATGCTAAGCATTCTGCACCAAAATAACAATTGAAAAAATGACTCGATTTTCTCCACAAATTCTAATGAAATGATTATACCCATTAATAAGAACCAGGGCTCTCTTCAAGAAAAATAGTAATTACTGTGTGGGTATGATTTACACAAAGCCAGATGGAGTTATTACATGATCCACAGCTCATGAATCGCTATGAAATGCACTATTTGGTATCTATATGATCCATCACTTTCTCTACATGGAAAAAATGAAATGAATAAGAACTAAAGTATGCTAGAGAAGAAAAGCTCCTTCCAGATTGTCAAGTTCAAGGCCCTAGAGTTGGAGAAACAGAAATCAAAGGGGTTTAATAACATTAGGGAAAGCACTTGAGAAGTTAGAACTAGATAAAAATCCAGTCTCCCAGCTCTCAGTTCAACGCTCTTTCCGTGGCAGCATTCAGCTATTATTTATAAATATGCTAACTAATTCAATGCTTTTTTACACCATAGCTATGAGTTACTGCAACACTTATTAAAAGCATTTTGTCAATTTAGGATATTCTATCACATAGCTTCCCAAAATTAGAACAATAACATGCCCTAACAGGTCAAGGCTTGCTTACTGAAGGATGAGATTGTACATTTCACAGACTGGGCCCTATTTGTTTATTTCTGCTGTCCCATGTAGTGCTATTAAAGCTTCCAATATATTCTAAAAGCCTCCAGATACCCAACCAAGGACACATTTTCCATGCACTAGAAACACAGCAACTGACTTGTGTATTACAGAATATGATTTAAAATAATAGAAGTGGTACAATGTTTACCTCAATTAGAAAAATTCCATCTTCCACTGATCTACGAAGTATGTGTGTCTAACCAAGAGTTTCTCAATTTCGGCAACTATTGATATTGTATGCCAGATAGTTCTTCTTGTCAGGGGCTGGTTGGTGCCTTGTAGGATGTTTAACAGTGTCACTGGCCTCTGCCCACTAAATGCCTGTAGCACCATCTTTCAAAGCTGTGACAACCAAAAATGTTTCCAGAGGCTGCCAAATATCCCTAGAGAGTTAAATCTCCCTTCCCGGTTGAGAACCACTCATCTGGCTAAAGAAAGCAAGTGTAAGAAATATGCCTTGGGAAAAAATGTTCAGTAACTCACCAAGAGGGTCTGGGAAATGACGATCAGATAATAAATTGTATTCATCTTCTGAGGTTAACACCTTGCCACCAGCTGGAAGAATTCGGCTTTTAGGAGCAGCTCCTCTCTGATAGGCCTGGGAAAGGAAAGGCATAAATGAATGATTTATTTTCCCCACCAGGATTTTTTGAAAAATATCAGGAATATTAGAAATAGAAAGACCCAGACACAGACACTCCGAGATAAGCAATTCCCACACTATGTCATTGAGTAAGAGCCACTTATTAAAAAAAAAAAAAAAGTTTTGTAGCACTGCTACTTCCAAGGTATTACATTAGTACTTTTGTGTGATGGTCACAACTTGGTAAATCAGATTGCCTTACCTCAGGGAGATTGACTGTAGGTATGTTTCTCAAATGAGGAAACCATACTCTTAGTAACTTGTAGAAATCCTGCACCACACTTACCATTTGAGACACCAGCACCTGAATCATTTCAGTAACCACAAGAGTGATGATGCGTACAGACATTTATTGAACAACATGCTTGCAGACTGATGACTAATGAGTCTGTGGGACAGGTAACTGCGTTCATGGTTGCCATGGATTTTCATCAACCCCAGAAAAATGTTGCCATGACAAAACATGCCACCGCGCTGCCCTCAGAAGTGAGGCTGCTTTGCAGTAAAACAATCTGGGATGGAAGTGCAATATCATGACTTCAGAACAAATTCTGGCCAGCAGGCGAGAAGCTTTGCTGTTCGGGAAATGTAAAC